ATCTAATTGCCCTGTGTCCTTAACCCCCTTCCCTTTTTACTAATCCTGCTGTACTCCATTTGCTCTCCTCTTTGTGGCCTTTTCACTACTATACTCTCCTGTAGTGCTCTACAATGTTTGACATCTAACACATTTTCTCTTTATCATTAACTCAATTTTTCTCCTTTTCTCCATAATAGCTTAGCTTAGTTCTGTATGACCTCCATTAACCTCCTTATCTATTCCTGCTCAATCTAACGTTTCCACTTCTATCCCCTTTGTCTCCCAATCAAATTCTTTTGCCATTCTAATTTCAGACACTCCTATCACTGTCACTGCCCTGTCACTACCCCTCTCTTTCCTCACTCTACCTGTAGTGGACAATCTAAACTTTTCACCCAGTCTTCTACCACACCCATTCTTCCACCTATCTCTTCCTCTTCCCCACAGATGTCTGTCTTCTCTTCTCCCCCTCATTAGAAGACTTTTGTTTCTCAGACCTCCTTAACCAACTCCACTTCAGAAATTCTCGAAGACATTCAAAATTATCTTAGCATGATCCAAGATAACATGTCTACACCTCATCCATCCTCCAATCTCTCTCCCATTCCCTCTACATTCAGAGTAACTGCCGACATCCATCTTCCTTCTAATTACATTCCCCATACACCCCTCTCTCCCACTCCCTGCCAACACGTCCCAATCACCCATTTCATCTACATCATCCCCCCTTTCTTCTCATTATCCTTTCTACTTCCTCCAATATATACAACATTTGTCACAACAACCCCTTCCCTGGATTCTAACCCTCCTCCCTCCTTTGATCTAATCGCCCTTAAACCAGAGGTTCTCAAAGTGGGGGTCCCAACCAGAGGGGTCGCAAAGTGATTTTGAGAGGTTGCAAGATCCTGCAACCCCTCTTCCTCCCACTACCCATCCTACTTCTCAGCGGTGGTTTACCTATATTGGGTCACCAATATATGGAAATAATTTATAGGGGTTGCAGTCAAAAAAGATTGAGAACCCCTGCCTCAACCCCCACCCCCCCTTCTCCTTTTGCTAATCCATGTCTTACCCTAAAGACATTCTAGCAGTAGCCCACTCTTCTTCCTCTGACAACATTGATCTAATTACCCTTATTAGTCCCAACTTTAGCCCATTTACTCACCCATCTGCCACTTTCAATGCCATGCTATCCTGAACTACAATACGACTTCCGACATGTATCATATATAATCATCAGTTAATCTCCCTCTTTAACCTTTATGCTACACCCCTCTATAGTTATATGACCTTTGATAGCTATAGCACATTTATTTTGCTCTGTAACTATTAATTATTAACCATAGTCTTTTAGTAAAATAATAGTACTGTATTAGTTTTATGTACTTAATGAACACATATCAGTGCAACAATTTGATATTTAGTATCAATATTAAACCAAATCAATTTTTTTTTCAAGTTTGAAACTCAGATCACAATTTGAACAAGCATTTTGTTTTACAACCTTTTGTCTTCTATTATGATTTTTATTCAACTTTGTAGGATAGTAAAAATTAAATAATCTTTTGAAGCATTTATTTTTATAGAACTTTTTTTTTCTTAAAACTCTTGTCTACTGTCAAACCAATTCTACATAAAACAGCAAGTCAGGATGAACAATGCTTTCATTTTATATCAGTATAGTAGTATATTTTGCAAATCTAAAAAAATACATTTTCTCAAAAAAAGTATCCTTATAAAAAAGAAAAAAAAAAAAAAATCGAGCAAGAATCAAAAGAAACACTGAAAATGGCCAGAGTACTTTGTCATCTCTATGTATGTTAGTATTTCCTCCGATTTTGATGCGAGTTTTACATCAATTAATGACATTTTGACTGGTTGATCTTGATGGATAATAAAATTCACAAGTTCAGTTAAAATTTGGTCACAGTACTTCTACAATGAATGCAACTTAACTGAAGAACCAATCTGAAAGTTAAAATTGAGAAACCACCAAAATATAAGAAAATAACAAAATTTCTATCGGAGAATATCAAGTGCATTTACAAACATCCTACAAAACAGGGCCTGCCGTAATGGCACAAATGGTATTAACAAGCTATGGGCATTGCTTGTACAAGTCTACAATAAATTTCAAAACAGCTTAATCATACTGCATCAGTATTACATTGCAATGGCAGGTAATGAAAATGCCCATTTTTCATTGTATATAGTAATATTCATGGAGGTAGCACATTTTTTATTTCAAATAGCACTAAAGGCTTTCATATCTAAGATTAAATCATGGTTACAAGAGAAAGTTAATACCAATATTCCTTAGAACAGGCACCAGCATAAAACAGCAGTATTCACAACCTATATTATGCTTAATATAACTGGCCTTACTTTTTATCCACCTTTCAATGTACAACCTACTGCAACAACTCTTTAAACAGCAACCATAAAAGGTAGACATTATTGTACTCCATACCTGGATAGTACTGCACACACCTCGGTTTGGTCCATTACACAGCTACTA